CACCCTGGCCCCTCTTGTGACCATTTAGGGCCAGTCCACTGGAGAAGGCGGAAAAGAGCGCAGAGCGGCAGTTGGGGGGCCCAGGGCCTCGCCGTAAGGTCCTGGGTGCATTCCTTCCCGCCTGGGGCCTCAGTTCTCCTCACCTGGAAATTGAGCTCAGAAAGTTGCATAATTGCTGCTCAGAAGCAGAACCAGGACTTGCACTCAGAACCGCCCGGCTCCAAAGCCTCATGGCAGCAACACAGTGTCCCCTGGAAGCCGGGGCAGAGAGATGCTGCCGGGACATGCCCTCCCGGGGTCCTTCCGGATGTGGCTGGCCCCGCAGCACTTTGTGTACGTGGACTCCTGGAGGTCCTGAAGCTGTCCTAGGGCTCCTGAGGCCCACATCCTCCGAGTTGCGGTTCCGAGAAGGGGAGCCCAGGCCCCCTGGGTCTCCTAGCTGCCAGCTAGTGCCCTGTCTGCTGCGCAGGGCGGCCGTCTAGAAACCTATCCAGGTTGGACTCCACAAACATGGAGCCGGTGTTGTGACCAGGGGCCTCCCCGCCATGGGAGAAGAATGTCCCCTTGGAGAAGCAGAAGCAGGGGTGTCCCCCCCGACCCCGACTGCCGCTATCACATGAGGCCACCCCCTCTTCTTGCTCCTGGTTACTGACTCAGGACGGCAGTTAGTTCCTGGCGGGGAAAGGAGCAGGCTACCAGTGACTGGCGGAGAGAAGTCACTGACAGCTCCGGGTGGGCCAGGCGCTAAGACAGGGCCAGGTTTGTGCTGGGCTGGAAATAGCTCGGAGGCGGCTGCCTGTGAAACCTGGGGCAGGGCTGAGCCTGAAGACAGGGATCCCAGGGCCTATGGCCTCTTACCTGGGCCAGTGCCATGGAGATTGGGAGCCAGGGGGAGGAATCAGTCCTGCCCTAGTCCCTGCTGAGCACTGACAGGATACACAGCCCTCGGGGGCCCCCTGGATGCTGTCTGACCCCCAGTGCCCAGCCAGCTTCCCATCATTCCCTTCCTGATTGAGGACGACCTCCTGGGAGGGTGGCTCAGCTCTGCTGGTGGCCCCACGCTGGGGGAGGTCAGAGGCACAGTTACCGTGTTCTCTCACCCACCCAGTGCCTTCTCTCTTGCTCAGGAGAGAAGTCTCTCCTGCTACCTCATCAGGAAGCTCCATGTCTGCCATGGGGCGGTCTCCTGGGGCGGGGAGTCCTCTGGAGCCAGGCCCAGCCATGGAGCCAGCCTCCCTCTCCTCCTCACTGCACCTGCGGTCTGGTCTCTGCTTTCCCCAGTTACTTCTCAGCAGCTGCCCTCTGATTCCAAGACTAGCTGTACTCAAGGTTGGGGGTGGGGGAGCTTCCAGGAGAAGATGGCCACTGAGCTAGATCCTGGAGTGCTAGGAAGTCCTGTCTGCGACTCCAGAAACTTCCAGGAGTCAGGAGACCTGGGGCAGAGACAGTCCTGGAGGCTGTGAGTGAAGCAGCTCAGCCCCTCTTCCCCATCCTCCACTCTGACCCTCAGGTTCTCTTCAGGCGCAAGTGGGAGTGGGGTGGGGACGGCAGCAGTGGCAGGACTAGACTGAGAAGCTCTGTCTGTGAAACAAAGAATTTATCTGTCTGGTGGGGTCTCCAGGTCCAGAGAGCTGCCTGGGGACACACGAGGAGGATCTAGAACCCAGAGGAGAGACAGGACGGGCACAGAGAAGAAGGTGGGATCATGCCCTCCTCATTGCCACCATCCTGAACACAGGAGCATTCCTGACTCTTGCACCAGCGTCTTGGGGCTCTGTTGCCAGATACCCTGTCCTTGGCTTTTCCCTGGAGCCCTTGGTGATTTCAGGATGGTTTCTCCCATGGGGGGAGCAGGGGAGTTAGCCCTGGGTGCCTGGCACATGTAGCTGGGGCTTTAGCCAAGTGCACTGAGTGGAGGGACCACTGGATGCCTGGGACTCATGACAGTTATGCCACTGCCCCTCCCCCAGCCTGCCAGTGAGACTGATGACTTCCCAAAAGGGGTTACATGGAGGGTTTGTGACATGGAACATTTGATGTGACCCGAGGACTTCCTGTTCAAATGACCCTGGGGCTCCTGACCTACTCCCTGGGAGTGTCACATGCTCAGTCAGAAGAAGCCCTAGAAAGTTAGACCCACCCCTCCCAGCAGAGCTGCCTGCCAGCTGCGCCCACCTTGGGCTCCCTGGGCACAGGAATCCAGGTTCCCCTACTCCCCTGGGCCCTTCTGTGTTGCTGCCACAGAAGCTGTTTGGTGGCCTCGTGGCTCAGGAAGTCAACAGGGGAATCCCAGCAGGAAGTGGGATCATGCCATCAAAAGGGGCTTCTGGCTCCCCTCCCCCTACCTCAGGGCATTGAGGAAAATGGACCCTGAAAGGGCCTTGGGAGCACTGTGCTGAACCCTCGGGCCCTAAAGCCTCCCCTACGGGCTCCTATCCAGGGCTCGTGGGGCCTTGGAAGATTCCCTGAGAACCTCTGCGCAAGGGCATTCCCTAGTAAGGACCTGGGCTGTCCTCCTGTGCGAGCTGAATTCTGAGGGGGGGGGGAGAGGGCTCAGCTCGGTCTCTACCCCTCCCCATCCTTTGAGAACCTTCATGAGGGCGGCTAATTCTCGCCCTCAGTGCTCTCAGTCAACACTGTCTGATTTGGAAGGACGGGCATGCCTTGCTTTAAGAAAGAGTTTGTACCTGCTGGTTTCTATGGAGACTGTGCGTCCCTCCAACTCTGTAATATCCTGGCTGTTCTGACATGTGAGGTGGCCCTAGTTCTAATCTGAACTTGGTGGATGCAGTCTGTGGCTTCTTTGTCCTACCCCAGTGTTCATGGAGGAATTTTGTGGTGGAAAGACCTGCTTCCTGCATGGAATCCGAGTGGAAAATGCTTTGGCAGAAACACAGGTACTCTAACTCCTTGTATAGCATCATTAAATGCTATCCTCCATCCTGATCCCTGCAACTGAGACCCTGGAATTACAGTTTCATTCCTTCATGCCCAATCTGGTGTAGGTTCAATAGCTGATCCCCTGATGGTCTTCTGAAAGCCTGAGTCCTCAGCAGTCTCCAGTGTGTCAGAGAAGAAAGCTCCAGATGGCAGGACTCAGTGACTAACACACCCTGTGCTCTGAACAGGGGGTACAGGAGCAACTTTTGGGGTGCACTAGGGGGAGGTCCCAAGCCTGATGGTGGAGTCAGGAAGCAGTCTGGGAAGAAAAGCCTTCCTGAGTTTCTCAAGGTCTCGGCATTGCCTGGCGAGTGCAGGCAGGTGAGGGGACTGCTCCATGGGCCCTGGCTCTGTCTCAGCCTACCAAGGCCGATGTCCACCCAGCTGTCCCTGTCAGCTGCCTGCATGACAATCTGACTTGACCAACCAGTCGGTCAGACTTGGGTTGCCCAGGGCATTCGCTGTCTGCCCTCTGGGCTGCTTGTGAAGCAATGTGGCCCCATCAGGCCTTGACAAGCACTAATGAATACCAGACCGTGGACTGGGGCTAGAGGTGGTGGGGGAGAGGGGCTTGAAGGCGGGCCAGCCTCTCAGGAGAAGGAGATGTGGTAATTCATCCCCAAGTGGATGAAGCATTGTGCAAACTGCCACCCTGTCAAAGGCTGTAAATATAAAGTAAGCTTCTAAGGCAACGCCTAGCCCAGCCCCTCTGTAGGGACTAACTGCAGGGCATCCTGTGGGTGAGAAAGAGTGGAGAAACCCAAGAGCCCGTCCCAGGAGAGGGTCGGAGTGATGGAGAGCAAGGCCTGAGTGTGTTTGCTTTCCTGGGAGAAGGCAAACGGAACAGTGACTCAATTGGGAAATATTTGATCAAGTGTTTGCTTTCGAAAGGACAATGTAATCACAAGGAAGTCCAATTAGGAGGGCCACAAGCCCCTGAGGAGTTACGCCCCCACCCCTACATGTGGTCTTGCCCCAGCCCCATGGCTCAACCTTAAAGAAAGCCTAGATCTGCCCTCCTGCCTCCTGCAAGCCCCAAGGGACGGTGGCTAAAGGAAGATTTAGACCCAAGATCTCCAAACGGATGTACTTCATCATGTTCAGCTTCCCTAGCTGATAGGCAAAAGTGTCTTTTGTCAATGTCATGGGCTGGCTCCTCTGGCTTCAATTAACCATTGGTCCCTCTGGGGATAGAGTCCTTCCAAACCGCCCCTGGGGGCCCAGCAAGAGGCCCAGGAACGCCCCCTGCTAAGCTCATGCCTCTGAGAGCCTTCTCCCCGCATCTGAAGGACAAGGACAAAGCCAGCATCACTTATTCACTGACTTCTCCCCAAGGCTCCCAGGCCATTCCTGACATGGCTTGTCTGGGAGAGCGGGGTGGGTCCTGGCTAAAAATGGTAGAGACTCAGGGCTTCAGGAAGGCCAGGGTGCACCTGTGTGATTATCCACGTGGAGGTCTTGCAGGCACCACCTCACACTCGTCCTTGCCACCCCCAACACCTGCCTGTCACCCCGGGCATCTCCCTCAGCACCTCTGTCCTCCCAGAGGCCTGCGCCCCAGATGCGCTCCCCTTCCTCTGTCTCGAGATGCTTCTCCTTCTTCCATCGAGCATCTAAACAGGCCTCGGTTCCAGCTCTTCCTCCCCGCTCACCACCACCACGGTCCTGGTTCACTGCCTCCTCTTCCTTCATCAAGACGACAGCAAAGTGTCCTACCTGGTATCTCCCTCCATTATAATGTCCTGTGTATCCACCAGGCAGGCGGAACTCAAATTTGGATAATTTGAGAAGAGTTTGCAAAGACGTGGGCAAGGGGCGGGCAGACCCACAGAACCAGTGAGGTGAGCCGGGACTGGTGCCGTGACCTTCTGGAAAGGACGGGCTTGCAGACACCCTGCAGGAGGCAGCCAGGGAGAAGCTCACTCTCCTCTCTCCCCCGTCTCCTGCTGGGCTCCCCATTGGCCAAGTCCGGCCACCGAGGGAGTGCGAAGGAGCCCCGGATGCTGCCCACACAGGGTCTTCTGAGCACAGGGCAGAGGAGAGAAGGGTGGAGGAAGGATCTGGAGGGTGAGGGGAACTTCATACAGTTGCCAACCCATTCTCCACATAGCACCAGCGAGATGTTTCTAAAACACATATCCGAACATGTTCCTGCTTAATATCTTGAGAACAACAAAAACAATCGTATGAATGAATCATAAACACCACCGCCACCCCCGTGGGTCTCTGGCGTGGGCTAGGCACCTGTCTCGGTCCCTTTCACAAGACCTAAGCTACCCCTTTTCATGCTCACGGTGACCTTCGAGGTCAAGGCCAGTGCCCCATTTTACAGCTGAAGCAGCTGAAGCTCAGACAAGCAAATGCCTACGTCTCACGGCCAGGACCTGGTCCTGGGCCTAGGGCTGACTCTGCTGTGACAACCTCCTCTTGGGGCCCTCGAGGCCCTCCCGGGTTGGCCCTGCCTCTCCACTCCTGTCCCAGTGCCCCTGCCCGCTCCTGGGCTCCAGCCACTGTGAGAGCCTCTCCCTTCTCCCACCCCTCGGAGCCTTTAGGGCAGGGGTCCGAAAACAATGGCCCACAGACCAAATTACTCCCCCCTTGCCTGTTTTTGTATGGCCTTTGAGCTAAAAATGCTTTTTATGTTTTAAACGATTGAAAAAAATTCAAAGAAGAATAATATTTGTGACATGTGAAAATCATGTGACATTCAATGTCCCCAAATAAAGTTTTATTGGCACACAGCTGCACCCGTTTGTGAGCACACTGCCTTTGGCTGTTTGTGCTCTAAGAGCGGAGTTGAGTAGTTTAAAATATTTTCTGATGGTTATTATCTGGCCCTTTGCAGGCAAAGTCTGCCAGCTCCTGCTGTAAGGTTTGGCCGTTTGACACACTACTCAGTCTTTACTGTGTTTGCGTGTGTGTTTAAACTTCACCTGTAATTCGTGACCGTGTGCTCAATGTTGGGGGCTCCAACAACACAGGGCGATGGTGAAAGCGCAGGAATCACCTGTCCCCATCTCCTCCCTGGGGGTGGCCGCCGTTCACACCTCTGAGCCTTCCAGATGCTGCTCCCCCGTCTGGGGTGCCCTCGCAGTGCTTCTGTCTGACAAGCCCCATCGTGCCCCGGGCCGAGTGCCACTGCCATCTGGTCTACACCATCTGGTCTACACCATCTGGAAGCTGCCTAGCACTGGCTTCCTGTGCGTGTTACTCCAAAGCGGTATTCCATGGGGCTTGCAAGCACAGGTGCCAGACCCAGCTACTAGCTGTACATCCTTGGCAAGTTGCTGAATCTCTCTGTACCTTCATACATACATGTGGATTGCTTAGAGCAAGGCCTGGTGTACAGAAGGCGCAGCTTGGGGCCCCACCACAGCAGCACAGGCCTGTGGCTCCCTCAGGGAACCACGCACACACTGCCAGCGTTCCCGAGTCAGGCTGCCCCAGGTTGCAGGCGCCTGAGCACAGCGAGCACTCTCTCCTGTCCCCATCCTCAGGGACTAGCCCAGCAGGTGCCACCAGAAAGAAGACAGTGCTGGGGGCTAGGGCGGGCCGGGTCTCAGGCATCCTGGGAGGATGAGGGCTCTGTGGGAGCTGGAAGGCCCAGGTCTTCTCAGTCCAGGTTGTGAGAGAATAAATGGATGTGGTACCCAAAGCACATGACCCAGAACTTGAGGTCCCTGAGGCTGGGCAGGTGACCTTGGCATAAAAACAGGGCGCCACTTCTTGGTCAGCAGGTGCCCATCCTTTTTCTCTTGTTGGAGAGCCTTCGGGTCGCACTGCCTCTAGGCTGTGAGGCGGGCCAGGCAGCCCAGTCAGGCCCAGGCCTTGGCACCCAGACTCCTGGGTTCTCTGAGGGGCACCAGCAAGGCGACAGGGCCTCAGGTCAGCTAGGACCCCAGAGCAGACCAGCAGGAACCAGCCTTTCTGCAGTATTGAGGACTGGTGTGGGGGTGGGGAGAAGGCCAACAACCCTGCCCAGGGTACCTGGCCCCCTCCCAAGAAAATAATCTTGCACACACGGCTCCCCTCCACGCCACTCGTCCCAGCCTTCTGGAGACGTCCAGCTTCTGAAGCAGTAAAGCCGAACCTGGAATGGGCATGGAGTTCATTTAGGACAAAGGACTTCAGTGCTCCGTTCCACAAACACGTAAGAGGCTGGAGCCTCCGGCGGGCTGGAGTGGGCAGGAGTGGAGACATCGTCTGGAGGCAGACTTGGCTCGGTCCGAGTGTGAGTTCACTCCCACCACCACCGCCGTGCGGGCTCTGGCACTCGAGACCAGGGTGCTCCCAGGGAAGGGCCCTGGGGGCTGGTGTGGGCGTGGGTGCACATGCCTGGAACTTGCGCACGCCTGCGCTTCCCCGAGCAGGAGGGCCAGAGCCAGGCTCTGCAAGGCCCAGGCTCCGGAAGGGGTTTGAGAGAGCACAGCGGTGGGCAAGCTCTGGCATCCTCCAGTCCAGTCTGGGGTCTGATGTTCTGTGGCCAGAGCAGCATGGGACAGGCTCTGGAGACACTGATGGAGGAATGTCTCCAGCAGGGCTGGTCCCACGCCAGCCCTGGAGGCCTGGTAGGAGGCTCTGGAGAGTCTGCATGGGCTGGGGCTAGGGGGGTGGCACAGAATGTGGTTGTGATCATGTCTTCATGTCCATCCAGGCTGTCCCTTGTCCCCTTCTAGGGCCACTTCCTCAGCTTCTGGGAGCCTGCCTGGCCCTGCCCATTGGGCCAAGCCCCCGAGCTGGGCGGTGGGTGCGGCCACCGTTGTGCAAGGGGTGAGCTCACCGCCGTGCCCAGCCTGGCCTGCACTGGCTTGCCCGCTGCTGGTTAATCATTGTTCAAACGCCCTGGCAGGTGAGCGGGCTGCGGAGGGAGGCATGACAGGGCAGGGCCGCCTCTGCCAGGTCTCAGCAAAGCTCTGCCAGCAGCCCAGGGCTGGAACCATTCCCCAGGACCCTGCAACGGGCAGCCTGCAGAGGGGCCAGACCACCTCTGCTGATTCCTTAGGAGGAACTCAGTAAATATTTTCGATTGAATCAAAGAATGCCCCTTTGTAGGTTTCCTCTCTCAGGGCAGCTAGGAGGGTGGGCCCTGGCACCCAAATGCCTTGGTTCAAACCACAGCTCTGTCACTTACTGGCTGTGTGACCTTGGTGGAGTTTCATAATCTCTCTGTGCTCCAGTGTCCTGGGCTACGAAAAGGTGTTGTTGATGATGGTGAGAATAATGACGCCTTCACGGGACTGTTTTGAGGGTTAGGATAGGTACATATATAAAGTGTCTCCTATGCCCATAACACAAGGAACTCCAGTGCCGGGAACCGAGACTAAAAGACCCATCACTGGGCTCAGCCAGTCCCCAAAAGGAAGATAAGTGGCCTCCAGGTGGTGGGCCAGGCTGCTTGTACACGTTGCCTAGGCAACCATCACATGACCCTTTGTGAGTTAGGTACTGCTCCCCACTTCCCAGATGAGGATGCTCAGGATGCTCGGGGTCAGGTGAGAGGTGGGGAGAGGTGTTGTGTGTGAAGTGACTGCCCAAGGTCACACTGTATGAGTGACAAAGTCAGGCAGGTTTCAAGCCCAGGTTTGCCTGCGCCTGAATCCACGTTCTCTCCACCACCCAGCCCTGCCAGGTTTGCAGATCAAAGATGCAAATCTGGACTTGCCAGGCAATTAAATTCTGCCCACGCTCACTGACATCCTCTGAGCATGGGGACGGGGGTGGGCAGGGGCGAGGGGTTCCAGGCTGAGTCTGCTGTGAGAGGGACAGAGGTTAATAGTGCCCAGCCCAGGCCCTGGGCCCAGAGAACCCCGAAGGATGAGGAGACAGGAAGGAAGAGCCGTGCACTACCTGGCAGAAGCCCATTGCCCCAGTGGCCAAGACCCAGGGACTCTGGACTGCCAGACAGACAGGGCCTGGGAGGCAGCTGGTGGGCAAGGGGCCTTGAAGCTACACACTGTTTTTTTTTTTTTAAAAAACAACGTATTTGTATTTGGCATGGTTTTGGGGGGGAGCTGAAGAATCCCATCCCCTTTTCCCACCTGCCCCAACTTTCCACGGAGCTCCTGCTAGCAGTGACGGAGGCAGAAACAGCCATGTGGGATGGTCCCCAGTTCCCATCGAGGGCCCTGGCAAAGGAGTATACGTCTCCCGGAAGGAGTCTCGGCCTCCAGGGACTCTGGGCATCTGAGAGGCACACCTTGAGGGAGAGTCCTGGGAGTCAGGCGGCTAGGCCTTGGGCCCGGGGCATCTGTGGGGCCCCATGGGAGCCACCGCACCCTGGGACTGGCGGCTGGGAAACCCATGTCAGACATGTGCTCTGAGACCGTGGGAAAGAAAGAGTCTTGAGGACAATGGATGCAGCTCAGGGACTCTGTGTGTGCCTGTGTGCACGTGTGTACGTGTGTACGTGTGTGTACTCCTGTGTTGCACACGTGCACATGGGCTGAAGGCTGGCGAGGGCAGCAGTGCTCCTCCTCAGAGAGGTGAATTAGGAAACGTCACCTCAGACAGCTCCAGGAACCTCTCTCTGCATCCTCTGTCTTCCTTGGCAGGCTGGCGTTCCTTCCGGGGACTCCCAGCCACACCGTCCCTCACTCACGTGCCCAGTGCCCCCGCCCTCTCGGCCTCTCCCCATCCAAGTGGGCTCCCAGAATGTGCTCTGAGAAGCTCCATCCCCTGAGCTGTTGGTGACTGAAATAAGGTCTCCCGTGTGACCCTCCAGCCACACTCACTGTTCACTGTCCTCCTGTCCCCACATGCATGGCCACAGCCCACAACCAGGGAGCACCAAGGCATTCTAGGACACTGAGGCAGCCTGTTCCTGCTTGGAGGCAGCTGGGGACTGAAGACATGCCTGGCTGTAGAGTAAAGGCAGCTGACACCAAGCTTGGCCACCAAGGCAAATTCCAGCCCCTGAGGCCAGACTGAGGCCACACTCTCCTACCTGCTTACTGACGTCCTTTGGGGCCCTGGGAACAGAGAGATCCTTCCTGGCCATGGTTGAAGACACAGATAGAGGTGCTGGGAGACGCAGGTGACGCCCTGGCAGGGCAGGAAGAGGTGGGTGTGATACTCGGTGTCGTTGACAGAGAGGTGTGTTGCAGATACTACAAAGATCCTAAATGAAGTGAAAAAGTTCTAATCTCTCTAATCTGCCCTCCGCACATACCACCAGCACTATCTGCCCCGTTGCAGCCAATCTGGCTGTTCAATGACACACAGTAGTGGTGCCAGGGAGACATGTGGCGTACCTGGAAGATATGAGAAAGATACCCAGATCTTGAAGGAAGTGAAAGGTTCTAATCTCGTCTTCAATTTGTCCTGCACACACACTCCCATTATTATCTTCCCCATCTCAGACCACTTGGTCCAATGCTCGTCAGGTTCTTAGGTAAACATCTGTGTCCCCCTAATCCCCAAGGGCCAGGTGGGACTTGGGTCTTCAGGCCCCCACCTTTGCTACAAAGAGATCTCTTACAATGAAAGCAAATTTCAGACCAGATTCTGCCACAATGATATACTTTTATTAGCAAGAAGGCACAAAAAATGTCATTTCACTCCCTTCACTAAACTTGGGGGCATCCCCTCTCTCTGTCCCTAGGTATGCTGACGAGCACTTGCTGGAAAATCCAGTGCCTCAGAGATACGGCTGTGTTCTGTCAGAGGACCAGCCAACCTTCTAGTTGGACCAGAACCAAATGGGAATAGACCCAGAGCACTAGCCCTTGGGTGTCAGGCATTCAGGTTTGCTGGATTCTTCTGTCTTGTTCAAGCAAAGACATAGGTGCCCGTGGCATCTTTCCAGCCAAATATTCCTTGAACATCCCTCATCTCACCAAATGGCAAATTATCTAGAGTATCTTTTATGCTAGTTAATTCACTTTAGGAAGTAGATTTGGAGAAGTGTATTTGAAGCCCCTATTAGAGTGTGAATTACTTTAAATGTTAAGCAATCATCCCTAGAGCATACATTATAATCATCTCACACACAGGCACGTCATCCCTCTGGTTTGTACTGTGGAGTTTTCAAGTAAGTCACAGAAAATTCCACTGACCCAGGATTCTCAGCCTCGGCACTGACACTGGGGGCTGGAGGAGTCTGTTGTGGGGCTGACGTGTGTGTTTTGTTCGGCCTGTGCTCACTAGCCAGCAGCAGCATACCTCCCACCCCCGTGTTGTGACAACCAAAAATGTCTCCAGACCCTGCCAACTGTCCCCTGTGGGCAAAACCTCCCCTGGTTGAGAACCTGTCAACTACAGTGACCATAGTCACTGTCTGCTCTGAGACTCTACATCAGAAAATCTTAAATATAAAAACAGAGAGACTAGGACAGTGAACCTCCATGTATTGACCATTCAATCTCAGTAATTGTCAACTCAGCCAATTTTATTTCATCTCTACTCCCACCCACTCCCTGCTGCCACCTCACCTTGCTAGATTAGTTTGCAACAAATCTCAGATGACATTCATCTACGCTATAAATATTTAGGTATATATCTCTAAAAGATAAGAAAGAACTCTCTTTTTAAACATAACTATTATACGATTATATCTTTCAAAATTAAAAATAATTCCTTAATATCATAGAATCTGCAGTAAGCAAACCCAGGATACTGTTCAGAGTGCAGTGGGCAGTTGACCTACCAGGCTCCAGGGACAGCAGGTGTAAATTGGACTGTCTTGGCAAACCAGGACTGAGGCAGGCACATGGAACAGTTGTTTTCCCCAAATACAACTCTTTCTAATGCACGTGTCTGAAAAGTCACTCGCCTGCTAGAAGCTTTTAAAGGCTCCTGGCACCTAAACACAAAGTCCCAACTCAACCTGACTCCCAAGGCCCTCTGGGACGTGGCCCCCACTTGCTTCTGCCTTAACCTCCAGCAGTCCTTCTTCTGCTGCTGATGTGGTCACATCTGGGACTCTGTCACACTCCCTGCCACTCAGAGGAGAGGCTGGAGCATAGGGCGCGGGGCTGGGCATGCTGGGAAGCTCGGGGAGGGGAGGGCGGGGGCGCTGGGGCCTGCTTCCTTTGTTCCCTTAGGTTTAAGCTGTTCTTTCCAGGCACCTGAATTCAAATATTGGCAGAAGTAGGATGTTTGGGGGTTGTTGTAAAAAAGTTCTGGGCTAGAAGTGGTTCTATGTGGTCTGAATTTTTTTTTGTGTGTGTGTCTTTCCTTCCCTTCTTTCTTTTTCCAAACATATATCCAGGACCCGCTTTGTTCTTGAGGGACTAAAACAACTAACTCCCAAATGCCAAGGGCTCCTGCCCACTCTCAGCCGTGCCCAGGCAAGGGTGCAGAGCAGGGCTCAGACACGGTGTGGGGAGGGCACTGCGTGTAGGTGCCGTCACCCCCGCCCCAAACAGACAGACAGACACACACTGAGCATAGCTTGTTCCACGAGAGCCGGCTCCTCAGCCTCCGCAGGGGAACTTCTCAGAGCCCAGGGCTCCCACTAAAGACCAGCTGCCCTTCCCGCTTAGAAGAGGCAGAATTTCTCTCCTCTTTATAATCGAAGCTCTACAGCCAGGTTCCCTGGGGACCCTAGTCTCCAAGCCTCTACAAAGGCTCCTGAAGGTTGAATTTGGGAGCTTCTGGCAGAGTGTAACTCCGAAGAATGAAAGAAAGCCATACTGCTTGACATGAAACTAACTAGTAACCAGAAAGCTCTCCCAGACCCTGCAAGGGCATAATCTTCAGGTATCTCAGCCCACGTGCCCAGGACTGGCTGCAAACTGGCCCGTGCAGTCCCTGGTCACCCACCACCAGGATCCCTTGCAGGCAGAACTTACCTGAGGCTGCCAGAACCCCCTGTTGGCTTCTCCCCATCCCAGCCGGGTCTCTGTCCTCTACCCAGCAGGGAGGTCTCTTTTGTCCAGGTCCCCACCCCATGCACAGCAACGCCCAGTACCTGGTGCAGCCCTTGTGGTGGCCTCCTGCTTGCCCTGTCCTGTGGTGGGTACTCTTCTGGGCCCTGGAGTCCTTTTCTGCTAGCACGCCTTCATTCATTTATAGACAACGAATCATGGAGGACCTACTATGTGTCAGGCACAGGAGTAGGTGCTGGGCCTCACATTAATAACACAAACAAATACTCTGCCTCTAGGGCTTTCATACCAGTAGGCCATGCACCCAGGCCACCACGATTTCTTATTCAGGTGTTGGCATCTCTTCTCTCATCAGAAGCCCTGGGATCCTTGTGCAAATTATTCTCTTCTTCCCAAGGAACCTGGTTTGCAGACTGGGAGGCCTTAAGAGAGGCCTGTCCAGGTGAGGTCACAACAA